CTCCTTTGATGGAGCTTCTGCTTCGGAAACACTGAATGAATAATCCATCACATGTATTTGAATGAAGTTTTGATTTGGCAGCGGCCTTGACTCTACATATTTGTTCATCAGTTAATCACAATTTATTAGAAGAAGATAATTTTTTTCCAGTCGAGAGTATGCATTACAAACAATGATAAGATACTTGTTAACTTTTGTAATACTTTATTTTTAATAAAAGGTTAGCAACATGAATTTCTTTTTTCCCCACTCTGTTCAATTCATTGTTACGTTTGTGTTAAAAGGTACAAAGCATCGTGTGCTTAAGAAACATGTAGGAAGGATTTATAAGGCACGATGCTTTCTACAATTTAAGATGCTCGTTTTGCATATTAAAAACACTTCCATATCTGCACGACCTGCTATGAGAAAATAACTTCTTTTTTCTCCATCAAAAGAAACTGTGGCAAAATAATGGACCACATTTAAACTCTTCATGTTGTTAAGCAGTTTGAAGCTCCATTTCCTCGTCTCATCACAAGTAATAGAATTCACAGTTTTATTTTGGTGATTTGCAAATATAGGTTTCGATTTCTTGTTCATCTTATTTGCACACAATTTTTTTTTAATTTCTTGGCAACATCTGTATATGATATCCCAGAAAGAGATCCATTATAAACATATGTTGTTCATCTTGGGGCATCTAATGCAAAAGTTCACCCTCTCAAAAGATCTGAAAAGTTGGTACCTTCTATTTTTAAGTATGAAAACTTGTGCATCGGATGCCCTAAATTGAATAATATATATTTCTAATTGATCTTTTTCTAGGATATCATTTACAAATATTGCCAAGAAATTATTTGTATGCAAATAAGAATGAACAAGAAATGATAATCGTATTTGCAAATCACCAAAATCAAACTATGGTAACTTGTGAAAGTAGACGAGAAGTCGACAATATGAAGGTAAGCAAGATTTGCAAGGGATGTAGGAATATAGCCACTTATTTCGTTGTTTGCCGGAGACCTGAGAAATTCAGCAAAAGCCAAAAAAAGGAGCTCAGTTAGACTGGTAGTGCGAAATAAGGAGTTGCCCAAAATTATAGACTAATCAACCGTTTTGTTTCTTTCTGTGAACAGCATGTACTTCCAAAACGTTATACTAATTACTCAACAGACTAGGAATATATAGATCCCATCAAATACTAAATGCACTTCATTTTACATGGCTAGACTTGAATGAAAACCAATATATTCAGATATCTTCTAGATTAAACATTTCAATAACTCCAGCAATAAAAAATTTCACAAGAGGATGGCTACACACTAACACACACCTTAACCAATTTGAGGCAAATGATGCAACTAAATTAGAAATCGATCTCAACAGGTTGCCTGGTTATGTCAAATAAAAATTGCTAAAACAAAGTAAAAAAAAAGCACAAAGGAAGCTAAAATAAGTCATAAAGCCTGGGGATATCTTACTAAGTCATCAGTGAACAGCAGTTCCCAATTGACTTGGGAATGTTGCCTAGCGATGTCTTCAATTGTTCAATACATATTCATTAACCGCAACCCGCTAAAGTCCCCGGCAGCAGATGGAATTTCACCAAATAACTTATTCTGGGAGACAACCAAAATCACAAGCTTTCTACGAGAATTCTTGGTCGAAGAAACAAGAACACTGTCCATGCTCCCATTCAATCTATTATCTGAAAGCAGAACTTGCTGTAAGCCCAGTTTCAACACCCAAGCAGGAAGATACCCAGTCAAGGAATCCAAAACCAGAAGGTTTAGGCAATTGCTCATGGAATCGGGCATGACTCCAGTAAAGCCATTCTTGGATACATTTAGAACCTTCAATGATTGAAGCTTTCCTATAGCTTTCTCCAAACCATTCAGGCGGTGAATCCATGTTTATGCGAAACCAGGTCATTACACAAGGCAAGCTTCTGCATTGTGCTTCGAAGCCAAGCATAAAGAGAAATTTCACTCAAATCAACAGACATTAACAATGAACAATCTCCAATTCCATCAGGAAGACCACCAGAAAATTGATCATTTGATTCTTCCACGCACTATGCCCCTCAAATTGCTCAAGCCATCAATGCCCTTAGGAATCTCACCCTCCAACAAATTATCAGACAAATCAAGCTACCTAACCCCCAGAAAAGTATTTAAAAAATCCTAAAAAATAAAAGCCCAAACCCGTAAAGAAATCAAATAGCCGCATTTAGCATGAAAATACCCAAAAAGAACAGCTAATCTTTCTCAACCCGAACAGTCGAGAAAAACCCAGAAAGAAAAGAAAAATGGGGGACAGAGAAAGGGATTTTAGAGAACCGTTGCTTTAGACTTCAAGTGAATAAGAAGAAAGATCGAAAAGGAGTTTTCAATCTGCAATCGAAAATGTGAGCTGAAGAGTGAAAAACTTCACTTGAAAAGGAGTTTTCGATCTGCTTACGTTTGCGTTGAGAGCGAGCTTTATAAACGGCAAAAAATAAAAAATAAAAAATAAATAAAAATAAAAATAAATAAATAAATAAAAATTATATATCACTGCAATATAAATAGGCAAAAACTTGGCCGCCACGTATCGCAATTTCCCATTGTCGTAAATGCATTTTTTTTTTCACGCATCTCCTCCTCACGCAACTTGGGATCGGTTCGACCAAAACTATAACCGCACCACCAAATTTTTGGTGATACTATAACCGCACCATAACCACGTAAGTCGGTTCGGTTCGGTTAATAACCACGAAAATAAATTATTTTTTATTAGTCCAAACTCCAACCGTCAAATTGACAAAAAAATTATGAAGAAAAGTCAAT